CAGAGTTGAGGCTTCTGGCTCACTCTGGGAGGGGCGCTCGGAAAAGAGAGGATGAGAAGCTGAAAATGGGAGAAAGGACATCTTCCAGCTCTCTGGGGTTCTTTTGCTGGGAGGGCGAGGAAGCAGCAGTTCTGCTCCATGGGAGGTGGGAGTAGGCAGCTGCTCCCCGCTCTCAGAAATTGCCGTGTCAGGCAGGGACCATGAGGAGCAACCAGGATTGGAGGAGCAGAAGTCAACACTGCCAAAGAGGAGGAAGGAAAGGAAAAGTGGGGGTCTTTAAATAGTCACGCCCACTTTTCCCCCTTTTTTCCCAGACATCCACATATGTGTGCGTGTCAGGTTTGGAAGCCTCTGTTTAAGTCTGTGCATGTGCACAGATATAGGCTGACTCCTCCTCATCTCCTGCCCTTGCTGCATCTCCTGTGGAGATGCATTTGCATCTCTGTGTCTCTCTCTGCCACTCAAAGCCATCCCGCAGCTCGATCCTTGAACTGGTTTCAATCGGCCATTGCCAAGCATCCCCATGGAAGTCAATGGACAGTCCGGCGGTGCACGGCCCGGACTGTCAGCGTTGCTGTGGTACCACCCCCTGTGGTGCCAGCTAATGCGGCGTGCTCCTGGCGACCCTCGAACCGCGCTGGCTTCCTCCCGTGGATCTCCCCCCCGGCACGACCTATCAAAGGAAGTGGGAATGGCTGCAGCCGGGACACGCTTACCTGGCCAGAGTACTTTTGCCCGACCCGGGCAGGCCGCAGAGCAAATAGAGGCTTTTGCTGAAGCGATGAGTGGGGGCCCTGCCTTGGGCACAGCGGGGCTGCTGGAGGCTGAGGCCCCCGAAGGTGCAGACCAGGCTATCTTCCATAATAGTGGGATGGTGACCGCAGGAGCAACAGCCTGCTTATCTCCGGTGGCGGTGGTGGCGGCAGCAGCGGCGGAGCCATCTGGTGGTGTTTACACGGCCCTTCGTCCACGTGACTGAGATAGGCAGTGGCCCCAACTCTGCTCCGGGGAAACGAGAGCAGAGCAGGGCGGCGCTGCCTTTTTACTCTGTCTGGTTTGGTGAGGGGGGGGGAAGGGGGAGACAATCATTTGTCTTCTCAGTTATCCTGTTGCTTCTTTTATGTGCTGCCACAAGGGTGATTTGAATATTATCTGTCTAAGACAAAGGCATTCCAGAAATGTTGGCTCAATGCTGATAGATGAGCCTATGTGCTTTACCTTTTAAAATCCTGAATGTGTTATTTACAATACGTTTACTGAGTTATATTTTTTGTAACATGGCATCTAATCAGGGTGAAAGGGGGAGGAGAAAGAAAAATTTGAAATTTTTGATAGAGCTTCCATGGACAAGTATAGTCTATCTAACACAAGACAACTGTTTGTTTGTTTTTTCCTCCACTTTTAGCTGTGGAAGCAAATACATTCTCATGTAGCTTCCCAGTTTTGTCAGATCTTATTCTGGAAATTATCAAGAAATGAGAAAGCAACTTTTTTGGCAGAATAAGGATTGAGGATGTCTAGAAAATAAAGCCCAATTGGTAGAAAAGGAGATAAAATATCTAGGATATATTATAATTGAAGGGGAAAGGGAAATAGATAGTAAAAGGATTGAAGCTATAGTAGATTTATAATTGCCAAACAACAAAAATGGCCTTAAGGGGATTCTGTGGTTATCACAAGGTAGTGTAAGAATGGTGATCCAAAAATTACATGAGGGGAGTCATTGAGGAACTAAAGCATTGGTAGAAGTGTATTTGAAATCCTACTGTATGCTACCCTTGGAATTTATGGCATAGTCCAAAGGGCTACAGAGGGATGTTTGATATGTAAAAAGGTTAACACCAGAGGGTAAAGGCTCCCAAAGGAGGGAGGCCAATAGCTATATGCAGAACAAGAACTTCTCTTTAACAGGAAGGCTTGGTGGCACAAACAGCTTCTTTGGAATTTCCAGTCCATAAGATCCAGCCGGGACAGTGGGTGCTGATTCGTAAATGGAAGGAGGAATCTCTACAACCAAAGAAGGGAAGTTCCTTATTTAGTATTGAATCTGCTGTCCAGATGGCTGAGAAGGGTTGGACTCACTACACACGAGGAAAGGTGGTGACTGGACCTGAAAGAGGCTGGATGGTTATTCCAGGACAGGGATTGAAAGCCACATTTAAAAGGACTTCAATGGGTGGTGGACCAGAACCCCTACCTGTTTTGAATATCTCTATTAATATTCCAGGTGACCCCAAACAAAGAACAAAGGTGTTGGTGGTGACTCATGAGAGAAGTAAAAGTGGTTTGTTACAAATAAAACCAATAACTGAGACAGAAGTCACACCATTAGAAACTGAAAATGTGAAATTATAAATTGTAAAAATTAGGTGGTAAATGTGTATCTTTTGTTGTCAGTGTGGTTGCTGTTACTGTTATTACTGTTGTGATTGTGGACCAATTTGTGGGTGTGAAACACTATGTAAAAATCATCAGGGGGTGGATTCTAATTCTAATCTTCCTGAAGACAACATACCAGAGAAGCCTGGGAAATGAAGGTAAAAATTTGTTTGTGGGATTTAGAGGTAGATGACAATCATGAAGCAGTAATGGATATTGCAAATTTGAATATATGCAACAGTGCCAAGAAAAAACTGCATTTAAAACTGGGAAGTGAAGGAAATGTTTCCTTTGGGGCAACTCTAACAATTTGGAAATTGAGGGCCTCAAAGTAAAATAACTGCTGCCAAAAAATAAATCACATTCCAGAAAGGGAATGCAACTCATAAAGGGTCAAAAGAAGCAATACAGGCAAACAGGAAAGGTGATAAAACTGGCAATAAAAACTTTATTACTGATATAGAAGCTGACTTTGAAAAGCATTATGAATGGATTTGCGCTGACAGGTGCAAGCAGTAATTTAATAAAAGATATTTTAAAAAAACACCTAATTTGGGCATTGATTACAAAATTCCAAATTATCTGGTAAATGAAAAGTAAAGGAATTGCAAGAGTGCATTGCAAATTAGAAAAAGGGAAAGAGAAGTAATGTTTATATGTTCCTGTTAGAAGAAATCAGGCTCGTTTCTCCAGCCAGGAGAGTAAGAATGCTTCCGCAATAATATGAAGCCGAAAAGCCAGATGCTGGAAGGGAAGTCTTTATTTGTGGATCAGAAATGACAGTGATCCCAGCATTCATTTCCAGGACAACTGACAAAGTAACCTGGTGAGTATGTGGATTTTTATATAATTCTAGGGCTTTGTGATTAAAATATTTTGGGTTAGTTGTGAAATGTTTCTTGAATTTGTGTGAGGATGTGTCCCTTTAATTTTCAGATTGTCATTGTCTGACTTCTATTGTGGCTAAGATGTTATGTCCTGTCTTTGAAGGAGAATGGGAATGCAAATTTCAAGAGTCTTTTGTCTTTCCACTTTATTCTGCTTGGTTTGTGGAGATTGTGGCTGGCAGCAGTTTGTTTGTGAATGGGGTAGTCTGATTTCATGAATGGGAACTGAATATCCATTAATGAAGTCTAGCCGTTTCACTTGAGTTGATTTCTGATACTGGAGAAGTGTGAATAGTGTTTGCGGCTGCTTAGCACTATTTCTGATAGTGGAGAGGCACTAGCGGAGAGGTGCTAGTGGAGAGGCACAAATTGATTTTTTTCTAGGGAGATTTTTCTCTTTGAAGGTGGTGTTTTTCTTTTGTTATTTCTTTTGAAAGAGAGGGGGGTTCCTTCTTACATTCCAATGCCAAATACTAACTAATCTGAGGTAAAATTGAATTAAAATACTATTAAAATAGGATTTAAAAGCCTAGGGAAATAAAAAAAGCCTTCCCCTGGTATTAAAATGATTCTAATATGGGTATCATTTGAGCCTTTCTGGGGAGGACATTCCATCACAGGGGTGCCACCTCAGAAAAGGCTATCTCTCTAGCAAAGACCCACCTTAGTTCCTTTGGTGGGAGAATCTGAAGGAGAGCCTCATTAGATGATCTTAAAGTCTGGATATGTACATAAAGAAGAACGTACTCCCTTAGCTACTCTGGTCCTAAGCATTTTGAATTGAACCTAGTAAAGAGATTGGGAGCCAGTGTAGATGAGAAAGTACTGGTGTAATGTTCATACTGCATTGGCCAGTCCTAGTGAGCAGCCCAGCTGCTCTATGTTGAACCAACAAAAGCTTCTGGACTGTTCTTGAAGAAATTCCACAAAAATGGATTGCAATAATGCAGTCAGGATATTATGCATAACTGTTGCAACGCTGTCTCTCTCCATGTAAGGTTGCAGTTGATAATTCAGCCAAACCTGATGAAAGGCACTTTAC